TGCTGAAGGTAGGTGAAGGCGAATGAGGTAGAGGTAGTGGCGGATGCGAGTAGATGTATGACGTTAGAGTGCGTGATGTGAAACTGAGCGAGAAGATCTACGAAGTCGCGGTTATCGTCGATTGGATTGATTGAAGACGTGAGGCAAGATGAGATCGGCGAAGGCGTTGCGATGAGACTGAACGTTGTAAATAAGTGTCGCGAGTTCCTGATGTTTGTCTAGAAGGATCACGACTGACTGAAACCAAGCTGGATTACTGCCAAGGTCCGTGGAGAATTGCTTGAGCCTCTCGACCGAATGATGGAGGCCTTTAAAGTGGCTAACGACGAGGGCAAGCGAGAAGTTACGGACTGGCGGATAGTCTAAGTCCGATTCTGACGGAATAGTAGCTTCGTTGACGAATTGGTCGCCGAATTGACGAGAAGAAGGAATGGTGGAGAAATGCGTCAATAAGGAACAGATCGCGATTAGCAAGATGTTCAATGCTGAAGATAGTGTCGAAGTTGATCGCCTGAGTTAGAGCCTGAGTGATGCGAAGTGGAAGTCGATCTTGTGGCGGAACGGAGATGTCCTGCGTTCGATCGTCTTCAAGGCGCGAGATCTCTTCATCCGTATAATGTCCACGAGTATAGCGATAGACAAGTTCCAAGACGGTAGGCGGACGAGTAGATCTGTACAATGTGGAGGATGAATCTCCAGAAAGTGGATGGCGAAGAGGGCGATAAACTGGTAGATGAAAATGCGATGGAGGAGCTTGGGCTCTAAGATCGCGAATAGCTGACACGACTAATGAAGCACTTTCCGAAAGAGGAATAGAAGGTACAGAAAATACTGGAGCAGAAATCGAATCAGAAACCGAGGTGGAAACTGACTGATTCGTTGTCGAAGTAGATGCCTGACGCGACGAAGTTGTTTGGGTCGACGCGGTGGACGACGAAGTGGTCAACGTAGGCTGCTTGAACATCGCACGAGAACACAGTAGCAGGATAGTATCTAAAAGAAGAAGAGTTAGGGGTTATACAAACAAGAAAAAGGTTGTAAATCTAAGTAAAGTTGAAACTGTATAAAGGAGGAAAATAATAAGCTATAAAGGAAACTAGATGTATATATATATTGTATGGGGAATGGAAGAATGAGAGAATGATACAGATAAGAATGAGCAAGGAAGAAGGACAGACAAAAAGAGACAGGTATGGAATAGAAGTCGATTGAGATGGAAAAGGAGAATGCGCTGAGATGTATTACGCGGATGAACTGAGATAGAATGAGACGGAGAACAATGTGCGATAAACGAGTATGTAAAGAAGTGAGAAATGACTGACCGACTTGAAAGAAGGATAAGGACAAAATGAAGTACAGTAAGGATGACGAAATAGGTATAGAAGTTACTAGAAGTACAAGTACACTGTGGGAGACTGGTACACTAAGGGATACGGTAGGTGACGATAGAGCAAATTTGCAGTGGGGTAGATGAATTGAGAATGGATGTAGAAGGGAAGGATAAGGGAAGTAGAAATAGAGTAAGAGAGACAGAAATAAGAGAATGAGAGCAATAAGGGGAAAATTATATTAAGGGTGTATAATATAAGGAGACATAAAGTTGTAATGGTAGAGTTACGTGTGTTCTAACGTACGGCGTCGTTTTGCGGCTCTTGGCGGCTGAATGCGAAGGGGTGGAGGTTGGAACGTAACCTGAGGATCTTCGGATGCAACGATCTCCAGAGGGTACAGCTGATTAATCGACCTCTGTAATTCGTTGCCGTTGGAGGTACGTACTGTGGCGCTTCTGATCTGATGAGCGCGGTCCTTCGACAGCCGGATAATGATTGCCATAGGCCAAGTACCACGAGGAGTTGACTTGTCGCCTATTAGGACGACTTCTCCAATCTGAGGAATACGTGGCGTGGACTTGCCTTGGGAAATACGCCTGGAATGTCGTTCTGAAATAGCTGTAAGATAGTCTGTTGACCAGATTGTCCAAAATTGGTCTAGGACAGCTAGAGTTTCCTTGTGCCATTCGACGAGACGATGATTCGACAACTCCAAGTGTGATGACGCGGTATCGGACGATGGTAGCTGAAGCTGAACCTGCGGTTGTAGAAAGTCTACTGGACGGAGAACTGACGGCGAACTGACTGTTTCCGACAGTGCTGTTAACGGTCTTGAATTGAGGATAGCTTCGATTTCCGAGATGAGCGTCGAGAACTGCTGGAACGGTAGGAGTGACGAACCGATGGATTTGCGAATAGCTGACTTAACAAGTCCGACAAGTCTTTCGTAGAATCCTCCTTTCCATGGGGAAAGGGGCGTGATGAACTGCCAACGGATATGGCGGCTTGTAAGATACGAGGAAACCTGAGAAGGCGACTGTTGCTCGCTGATGATCTTCTGCAACGTGTCGTCTGCAGAACGAAACGTGGAGGCGTTGTCGCTGAGAATGAGTGACGGAGTGCCTCTTCGGGCTACAAATCGACGAAAAGCGAGGAGAAATTCCTGCGTCGTGTTGTTGAGAACGAGTTCTAGATGAATAGCTCGAGTAGCCATACAGGTGAAGAGACAGATCCAAATCTTAGCCGAAACGTTGAAGGAGTCCTTGTACCGTAGAGGACCAAGATAGTCGAGTCCGATGTTCTGGAAAGGTCGAGATCGATTGACTCTTTCCTGCGGTAGACTTGGCATGTCCGGATAACGGTACGGAAGTGCGTTGGTCTTTTTGCACACAGTACAAGCACGAAGAATGTTGTTGACCGTGGTACGAACAGAGGGAATAAAGTAGGACTGACGGAGTGTGGCTATGGTAGCGTGTACACCGGAATGGAACTGCATGCGATGGATATGCATGACTATAAGTTGCACAAGCGGATGTGACGGAACTAGAAGAACCGGAGTGGACGGAGAAGTACTTGAGTGTTGCATACGATGAGGACAATGAATGAGTCCTGAGGAGGAACGATGAGCGTTGAAGCGATGAAGTGGCAAGCGACTAAGAACGAGTTCGCTTTCGCGGTAGTGCTCTTTAATGAGAAGCACTTCTGCGGCGGCGAATTCCGAGACAGAAATGTCCAAGGAGTGCTGTACATCTAGAGTGTGATGTACACGGCGAATCTTGGCGAACATGATTTGGATGAACCTAAGAACGTATGCTGTAGAGCGTACGAGCTTGGTATAGCGACTAAAGGCGGTGAAGCGAATAGGCGATATATAGCCGGATGGAATAGAGGCTATAAGAGCTTTGTACTCCTTTTGCGCGTCCTGTTGTTGTTCCGTAGGTAGATGGAAGTTGTTGGCTTGTGGCCATTGTGACTGAGGTGTACGGAGAAAGGATGGACCTGACCACCAAATGTGTCCTTGTGCAGCTGTTGTTGGTATGCCTCTCGAGGCACAGTCTGCAGGATTAGATTCCGACTGAACGTAGTAGAGATGCGTAGGGATCTGAAGAGATTGGAAATAGTCTAGGATGGACTGTATGTCCGTGATGCGGTTGTTGACAAAGGTACGCAGCGGACGACTAGACTGAATCCAATGGAGAACGATCTGCGAGTCGGAGAAGACGTGAACTGCGGAGATGTTGAGATGCAGTTGTTGGTAGACGAACTTGACAAGACGGAGACTGATGAGTGTAGCCAATAGTTCCATGCGTGGCATGGTTATTGGTTTACGAGGACCGAGAAGGGATTTAGCCATAACAAGGTGAACCGAGGTATTGGACCGATTCCTACATAGCAGATACACACAAGAAGCGTATAAACGTTTCGAGGCGTCTCCAAAGACGCAGAGTTCGACTGACGATGGAGCACTTGGCACGATACAACGTGGTATCGGCGGAAGTGGATGTTGAATGTCCTGAACAAGCTGGTTCCAACGATGATGGTCGTGAACGTCGAGTGGGTCATCCCAGTTGTAGTTTTTGGCCCACAAGTCCTGTAAAAAGACTTTGAACGGCGCTAAAAACGGAGATAGAATTCCTAGCGGATCGAACGTAGAAGCGAGGGCTTTGAGCGCGGTACGCTTAGATGTTACTGCATGATGAATCGTGTGGAGTGGAATGGTATAATGGTCGAGTTGCGGATTCCACTGAATGCCTAAAAGAGAAGTATAAGTGGAACTCTTCATACGATCTGGCGGAGCGATAGCTCTGTTGACCGTGGTGGAGTTACACATAAACTGGCGAAGATTCATATGCATCGAAACGAACAGTGCTTTTGCCTCTCTGTACTTACGGATCGCTTCGTCTTCCGATTGAGCACCGAGTACCAGATTGTCGACGTACGTGTTGAGTTCGATTTCCTTGTTCAGCGGATTAGTCGAATCTCGGCGAAGATAGTATAATATGGAGGCTGCTAAAAGAAACGGTGAAGCTGTTATACCAAATGGGACACGTGTAAAGCGAAAAATCCTGATGTTACGGTCTGTTGGTGGCAACGACGGATCTTTCAACCATAGGAACCTGGTTACGTCTCGCTGACTGATCTGAAGGCGAATCTGCAAAAATGCTTTTTCTACGTCTGAAACAAGTAAATATGGATGTAAACGTGAACGTAGAAGGATTCCTACAAGGTCTGGGAGAATGGAGGGACCTGGATGGAGACAGTCGTTGAGGCTTGGCGCTCCCTTGTAGTGAGACGATGCGTCGAACACGACTCTAAGCTGCGTTGTACTTGACGAGCGCTTGACTACTGCCTGGTGAGGAATGTAGTATGTTCGTGGGTCGTCTGACCGATGTTCTGAGACTTCCTCAATGATGCCTTTCTGGTGGTAGTCTGCGATCGTGGCGGCGTAGAGTTTCCAAAGGTCTGGCTTGGTAATGAGTGTTCGGTACTTGACTTTCGAGTCTCTTAAGGGCGAGTTGTTTGTTGTCTGCAAGCCTAGGATGCGACGTCTTCCATGGAAATTGAACGTAGAGGTAACCCTTTATCTCCATGGCGGTATCTTGGAATTGCTGAAGCACTTTGGCGTCTTCTTTCTGATCGAACAGCGGATCAGGATCGTCTGTGATTCCTATGACGTCCAGAGTGTCGAAGCGTGAAATGGGATCAGTTTCGTCTTGCAGCGAAGGAGGATTGGTTACGAGGCTGGTCTGCTGATGGTACTGCACGAAAAAACTTCGAACCTGAAATGGTGGGTCCGAAACGGGTATAGCAGATGACTAGTCCTGATGGTAAAGGGACTGGAGGATCCGTAGTGACGATGGACCAGAAGTAGTCTATCCCAATGAGGATGTCTGGATTGACACGTCGATTAATCGTAAGCGAGTCCAACGAGATGTTCATCGATCTGAGGATGTCCATGTCTTCACGTGACAGATCGTGCGGAGTCGTTGGCGTGGTGATGTTGTCCGTTGTGTTGAGGTCGAGTAGAAGGAGCTTGCTGTTCGTATCGACGAGCGAAACGAGAACTTTCTCGGAACGCTCGGTTGACTTGACGGCTCCAAATGCGACTGTAGTGAGCAATCCTTGATCTTGAGCGACGAGGCGGAACTTGCTGACCGTGGCACGTGTTATAAAGCTAGTCTGCGAACCTGTATCTAAAAAGAGGATGACTGGTTCACGTTGTCCAGTGATGGGATGGACAAGAGAAGCTGTGACGGTCATAAGGGCACTTCTGTACGCGGATTGCGTGACAACGGAAAGCTGACGATAATCGAGTTGATCGACTGGGTCGGTATCGTCCTCGGAATGTACGACAGAATGGACTGATGTTTCTCGTCCGTGGGTATTGGTAGATGCCCTTGTCCTGTGAGTGCGAATAGGTGAGGTACTGTCGCGAACTGGTGATCGAAAACGGACATGGCTGTCAACACTACGTGACCGATGTGATAACGCGATGAGTCACTTCAACTGTACGTTCAAACTCAGGACAACTCAGCCGCGCTCAGCGAACAAGTAGAGCAGCTTTGGAGCGAGCTGCAAGGCGATCAGCAGGAGCAGAACGCGCTAGAAACCATCACTGCGCTGGATACTCAGCTCATGATGGATGAAGCGATAGAAACAGCGCTCCGCTCGCAGCTTAACAACAACATAGCAACCGCTACCGCCGCTCTTACGCTCGCAAGTTCGCCGCCGCGTAACGCTTCTTCCGGTAATCAGTCATTGGACGCTTGCGGTAATTCAACGCCTGCATCAATTATCGTTTGCGCCTTCGCCACAACCATCTTCAATTTCAGGTATGCAACCAATTCAGCTTCGCAAGTTGGAGCTACCCGTCTTCGATGGCGATCTTACGCAATTCCACGATTTTTGGTGTCGCTTCAAAACCGCTATTCACGACAATGATAGTTTGCCGCTTGCAAGCAAGTTCATTTATCTGTCTAGCGCCCTTAAAGGCAGCGCCGCGCTTATCGTTCAAGGCTTCGATCCATCTAAGCCAGAAAATTACCATCTTGCGATTCAAGCGCTCAAAAAACGATACGATCGTCCGCAATTTACGCATAACCTCTTCCATCATAGGTTAGAACAGTTACCAACATCATCTGTTTCAGCCTCGTCGCAGAGAGATACGCTTTCACAGATTCAGTCATACGTGTTACAGCTCAATAGGTTCGAGGATACTACCACTTCGCTATCTCTCATGAAACTCATCAAGAGCAAGTTCCCTAGAGATACGCAGTTAGAAGTCAACAGGCTCGAACACCGTTCTGGTAAGAAGTGGACGCTTCCCGATCTCTTGGACGGCCTCAACGAGGTCATCGAAGAGTTCGAGAAACTCGACGATTACTCTATCGGTAAATCTCTACAACATCAGATTTCCATGTAAATCCGGTTTCAGCTTCCGCTTCCAGATCACCTACGCCAGAACCCCAATACGACCCTAACCTTTGTTGCTTCTGTAGTTCACCCAACCATCATTCCACTCGCTGTCATCATCGTATGCCCACTGTGAATCGACGCCTCATTGCCAAGGCTTACAACCTGTGTTGGAAATGTTACATCAAGGTCACAACAGCAGTAAATGCGGATATCCCAAGTGTCGTCGCTGCTCCGGTAACCATCATCTCATCCTGTGCAACACTCGAGATACTCGTTCGCCAGTCAGATCGAAGTACACACGCGATCGTTACCGTACACCATCGTCGGATTCTTCGCGTAGCTACCGTCAGTCTAGAAGTCCATCATACGAACGTTCTCGTTATACGTCACGTTCGCCGTCTAGACATCATTCAGACCGTAGCTCTTCACCATCATCACGAAGACCAGATGGATATCGAAC